AGATGAAGTTGTGATTGAAATAATAAAAAATTACACTTACAAGTTGTAGAAGGAAGTAACGAAGCACCAGTTGTGGTTGCAGTCGTATTAAAGATTCCAACAGAAGGAGTTGAAGCAGCCGACGAAAATAAGTTCGGTTGAGTTGGTTGAGTGGATAAAGTCGATGAAATATTCGTCCTTGATAAGATGTTTAATCCACTCGTTGTAGCCGTGATCGCACCAAAAGGAGATATGCCTGATGACGTTGTCTTTGGAACATCATTACTAGCAGTAGTAGTAGTAGCAGCTTGACTATTAAATCCGATCCCTGGAAATAATCCTGAAGGTGTACTCTGTCCTTGAGTTGTCTTTGGCGCGCCTAAACCAAAACTACCAAAACCAGGAGGCTTTGATGTAGCATTAGTGCCAAATCCGATGCTCTCTTTCTTGTTAGTATCCTGAGTAGGTTGACTTGAACCAGACAATGTAAAACTACTTGAAGAAACGGTGGATTGCACAGCTCCAAATCCCAAATTACTCGAAGCAGTGGTTGTTTGTGTACCTCCAAATCCAAATGCGGATTGAGTTTTCGCGCCACCGAACATGCTAAAAGCGGATGAAGCCTCCGTTTTAGCAGATCCTAAAGTAAACCCGGTAGAGGCCGTTGTTACTGGTGCAGTTGTTACTGGTGCCTTACCGGAATCAGAATTAGGTGGTTGTTTAAATCCGACAAAACTAGAATTAGGATTATTAAATGAAGACGTCGAAGTGCTACTAGTACCGAATCCAAAAGTTGGGAATGAGGTTGTTTGATTGCCCGCTGTCGTGGAGACTGTAGAAACTTTACTTAGTGCAGTAAAGCCTGTGGATGGCTGTTGTTGACTTGGAAAACTAAATGGTTGAAGCTGTGAAGAAGCATTAAAAGAAGGATTCGTAGGTTTTGCTTGGCCAAATCCGAAAGTTGTCGCCGCAGTTGTAGCAGCAAACAATCCGCTTCCTGCAGCAGGTGTTGTCTTATACGGATCTGCAGTCACAGAAGAACCAATGGACCATACTGGTCTAGTACTAGCGTTATCTTGGGACTGCGATGTAGCAGGTTGTGAATTATTACTGGTGCCAAAACCAAAACTAGGTTGTGTAGTATTGCCAGAACCGAAACCAAAACTAGAAGGTTGCGAAGGATTATTAGAACCGAAACTAGATCCAGAAGGTTGTGAAGTATTATTATTGTTATTGTTGGCTCCGAAGTTAAATCCAGCAGCTGCTTTTAAAGAGATAATTCATATTAATAGACACTTTATAATTCCAACAACAAATATCGAACCATTAAGTATGTACTCACACATATTTTCGTATGAATGAGTTAATACAAAACTTTAGGGCTTATATACTAATTAAAAACGTTACGTCATTCTTTCCACGCGTGGAACTAGAGTTTGGAGCCGGTTTATTTTTCATATGCTAAGCCGATTAAAACCGGTTTTAGCATATGAAAAATAAAACCGGTTCCAAACTCTACGTGGAACCTCATAGGACGACTTTCTTCTGATTGGCTGATGCAAATCAATTGCCCGGGTAACTTATTTATACTTTTTAGGAACGTTACGTTTCACTAACAAAAAAATCGCCGTAAAAGCAAATTCTAGTACTAAACGAACGTAAATATTCAGATTTCAAATATAATTTATATATGTATACACCTTGAATTCTTTGAGAATTGTCAGTATGTAGCTATCACAAAATAGAACTTCATGGTAAAAAAAAAAAGTTGGCCTTATACATGAGAAATGTAAGCATTAATATGTATATTCATCAGAGCGCGACTCATATCAACAACGAAATCAGGCGGATTTAAATCATTATAATCAAAAAGACTCATGATTATTCCTTTTATTGGAATATTGAAAAAATCCAAGAGTCCAGTGGATGATCTAGATTTTTTTCAACAACAGTTTATGTTTTATAAATATTGTAGCGCTTCTCATTGATTTAAATCCATTATTTAAAACATCATTTACGTACCATATCTCTAATGATATATATTTGATGTACGTACGAAAGTATGATTCAATGTATATACAAAAAAAAAAAAAATAGTAATAATCGAAAGCTTATGTTTGAATTATGAAATCGATCAACCGATCTTGAAAAAAATTTGATCAAAATTAGCTTTAGCTGATTTTTCATTATTGGTCAAGAAAACTATTTCCACCCTGTAGACTACTTTCTCTCTGGACGCGACCGATGTATGCACGAGATACGATATTCCAAGCATCCATATAACGGTCCATGCACTTGGCAATACAAGTCTATTAAATAAGAAAAGAATGACTACAATAAATATAAATACAAATCATTACCATTAGGTATAAAATAAATAAATAAATACTTGTTCCCCACTTTCTAACTTATACCCTGGCTTCGTGATACATTTTGAGAAACATTTTTCATTAATTTTCTGTTTAATTTAACCGATCAAACAATCGATTCTTAAATTACTCTCGTATATTAACATTCACAAAAGGATGTAAAAAAAATGTAGTGCCTGAAACAACCAACAAGAAGCTTCAATTATATGTCGCGTACGTTAATGAGTTCTTGAGCATTGGCAAGTGCTAATTCATTTCTAACTTGGTCCATTACCGCCTGTTTTCGGTTTTCTCTAATAGCAAACAATATCACCCACTTTAACTAAAACGATCCCTTTTTTTTCACTTAAAAAAATTTCCCATAAATATACTCACTGACTACCAGAAGCCGAGCCATAATCACTAGAATAGCTACTCATTTTATCAATATTTTATCAATAGCGTTAATGGGTGAAAAAAGATTATTGATATTATTTGCGAATGAAAATCATTTTAAGTTTTTTTTTCTGCATCTATTCGTGTGACATCACGACAGTGATTGTGGCAGATTAAAATGAAATCGGATTAAAATGAAATATTATACAATGTAAAAAATAGACAAGCCACCGAAAAATAAAAATT